AGGTTGGACTAGATGATCTTCGAAGGTCCCTTCCAACCCGTAACATTCTGTGATTCCGTGATTCTGTGTATAGCATGACAGTACTGATCAAAGAGGGACAAACGTAATGCCTTTCCATCGGTGGAGGTGAAAACACACTGTTAGCATTTGTGATCTCTAGATGTGCCTGAGTGTGGACGTAACTGTAACACGGGAGATTATATTACCAAACCAGTGCAAAACAAGGAATGTTTTTTTTGGAGTGGAGTGAATGGTGGGACAGGAAGATAACTTTGAGGAATGACTGCCTGCCAGCAGTTAACTTAAGATGTAGCATTTGACACAGCCCAGCTTAGAAGAAAGAACAGGAGGCAAAGGAGAAGAGCAAAGAAAGACAATGAAAGGAGCAAGATTCAGTGACAACAACAAAAATATCACGTGCTTTCCCAATTTCGTTTTTCCACTAAAAATATGGATTATTTCCTTCTGTCTCATACTGGTGACAGATTGTGCAAAATGTATGTGGAGAGCTGGCTGGAACATAGCTCACAGTCTGCCAAGGACCAAATGTGTAACAATTTCAAAATGACAGCAACATAGCCATTAAATATTTGATGAGGAAGTCTTTTAAGTCATAGATTTCAAATCCCCTCTTAAAGCAAGGGAAGTATTCTATATTAATTTTACTCATTGAGAAACGTAAACAGAGTGAGAATTTGCGTATCCAAAGAGTTGCAGGCTGTTACAGGCCAGAACTTAGAACAGAGCTCTCTTTTATGAAATACTCAGTGCCTGTGATTAAACTGTCTGCAAATTATGTTTTTCTCCCATAGCGCAGTTGTGTAACGTCTTCGTTTCAGTCTTCAAATTGGAAGGAAAGTAAGGTTCGTCATAGGAGAGTGTCTGGTAGCCTAATAAAATCTCCCCCTCTTCCCCATTTGTGGCCTTTGATCTGCACTGCTGTATTACTGCTTACTTACCTGGATTGTTCCTAAGATAGCATTCACATCAGGTTATAGCAAAATAATTCCTTTGAATGCAGGAGGAATTGGAGTGGGTTACGTTCTTCAAACTCCTGCTGTTTTCGTTGGGCTCGGCTACCTAATTAAAGATCAAGTCAACTTCCCAGTGTTGAGATTCAGGATGAAATCTACCACATGCAAGGATGATGAGCCTATCCAGCAAGGAAAATTAAAGACAAAAAAAGTCAAAGCTGCTGAAAGAAAGGCAAGGCCACCTGGCAAAGTTTATGAAAGGCGCGCTCTCACTTGCTATGTGTGAGCTGCATAGTGTTAACGTAATCACCAGTGCACATTTCAGACTGGGGGAACCAGTTCTCATTATGCTTTTGTCAGCTCGGAGAATGAGAAAGATGTGGTGTGAGCACTGGTCTGGATGCTGGAACTCATGAATTCCAATCCGGGTAATGACAAAAGATGACTGTGTGGGCAAGTCACTTAACCCCTCTGTGGTTCTCTTCTTTCAGAAGTGAAATGAGAATAGTGTTTCCAGCTTAGGAAGTGGAGGAAGATTAATTAATGTTTGAAAAGCCAGTCTTGCAGTGGAAGAGTTATATAAGAGCTAAGTGTTTATTAACGATCGCCCTTTTATAGAAACTACTTCTTAGCACAGTGATATGGTAGATTAATAACATGTGCTCTATCTGGAAAATAAGAGATTAGGGTGAATTCAGGAAGATTCAATCTGTTGGAGAAACCATGAAGTTTTGACTTAGCTTTTATTCTAACAAAGTCTCACTGAAGCCAATGGTTGTTTTGCCTGACTAATACCATGACACCCTTTTCCCCCTGAAAAAGTCTAATTTGCTTGGGGAATAGAAAATCTCTGCAGTTTCAACTCATGGCATCACTTCGGACTTTTTCCATGACAGAACATGAATTTGAAAGGTGGAAGAGTCTAGACACCAAATAAAAAAAGCTGCTGGAAGCTGCAAATCTTTGGTCCTACAAAGGATCTGCTGGGACTATGTAAACAGAGCTTCTTTGCCTCAGCTCTGGTTATAGAGTCCTCCAAATGCCTTTTTAGCTAGGCCTGTCTTAGCTTGCTGCCACCCTGTGAAGGCCATCTGAAAGAGTTTTGGCAGTGGGTGGAGCTCAGCTGCAGATTTACTACTGCCGCTGCTTATATTGATATGTGCTCGTTTTCCCTGGAGAGCTGATACTTTTTTGCTGGAGAAGGGCAAGTCTGCAGACCCATCTGGTTTGCTATGCCATCCTAAACTCTGCTGGTAAAATCCCTGCAGGATCCTGTAGGGAATGGAGGCAAGGCCGCAGCCTTGGGACTTTCTGCAGGGAATGCAAGTTTCCTTTTGTTCATTGAGGGAGAAAGATGCATGAGACCTATATTCAAGGACATGGTGCTTTTGTAAGGTAACAATAGTAGAGCTAGAATTGTGGGTGCGTTTTCAGGTAGAGCTGAATGAAATAAAATCTGGTAGAATTTCTGGGGGTTTTTTTTGTTTTGAATTTAAAACTCCCTTGAATAGGTAAATAGGACTGGGTTTTAGAGCTTATCTGTTTTTGCAGCTAGGTTAGCATTAATGCAGGATCAATCTGTATAAGAGCAAGATAGAGTTGGACAGTATGTGTCACGCAGCTATTAAGTCCAAGCGCCTCCTCCTTTGTCAGTAAAGCACTGATCACCTGATAGTGCTCTGAAAATAATTTAAGTTTTCGAGCAGTGTCAGTAGTTCATAGAAGAAGAACTATTTATTAACTTTCATCTTCAAACACACACAAGTAAGAGGAATAGAGTAGGATACTTGAACTGATACTTAAATAATCTGCTAGAAATGTAAATCTCTCTCTCCATTCTAAGAAATGCTGTAACATTTGTGTTATTAGCGGGGGTTATCTTTCTAAGATAATTTAAATAGAGAGCATTTTGTAGCTCCCTCCAGTTTGATGATTACTTTTGTGTTACACTTTTTTCCATTATTCAAAAAGTGAAGACAAAGTTATACAGGGCTGCGGATATGTTGTTTGACTCTGTCAGTGTCTCTTCCACTCCATCTCCTTTGCTCTGTGGGACCACAGAGGAGGAGGAGTAGTTTCCCTCTCCAGAATGCATTAGAAGAATACATGGCTGGTACTAGAAGAAGGGAGACCCAACTGGCGTTTTGTGGAGAGGTTGCATCTAACAGAAGTCTAGTTGTTCAAAATGTCTGGCAAATAGAGTTAGGTTTACATAGGAAATGAGGGCAGATACTTCAAAGAACGGATGTGCGTATGTATCTGGGCATTTTATTTCTCCCCAGCTTTCCTCCCTCCCTCCTGCAGGAGTTCTCATTTCTAAATCAAGGGCATTCAAAGACTTAAAAAAATCTGCGGCTAAGGAGACATTACATTTGGAAAAGCTTTTGTCCTGTTATGTTGACTGTGTGATCATCTCCTTGCAGAATGGAGAAAACTGGGGTAAAACTATCTAATATTCCAGATCATTCATCTTCTTCATATCATGAGGTTGTTGTAAATGTTTCTAATGAGGCAAAGTATTTTCCTCGAGGGAGTGTGTAAATCAGCTGGAAGAGGTGGAGAATCAAATATGTTATCATGCTAGGCTTTGATTTACAATTTTCTATCATCTGTTCCAGAATGTGGACCATCAATTGGCTTTTTGTGAATAGTAGCAGAAAAGTATAATAATGGAAGTTTTACTTATATGTAAATGAATAATTGGGGTGGGTCTTTTTTTTTTATTATTATTTTTTTGATTTGTGGAGCCTTATGACATTTCCAGATTCAGGTGTCTGGGGAATGCGAAGTAAGTGTCTATGTACATTGCAGGATACATTTTCAGTATCAGGGCTGAGTGAAGTTTTTTGGAGTGGATGGTGACTTCCCCCTTGGACATTTTTTCAAGGGGTCTAAAAACAAGACAGAGATCTAGAGACTGCTGGGTTCTGTTCTCCTGGCACCACTTTGCCTTCCTAAGCAAGCTATGCAGGACAGACTACTGGGCATGACATTTATTCCTGTGTGAAATCTTTGAGGTTAATGAAGCTAATAAAGTGACTGAAAATGTGGCTGGGAATAAAAATTTGCAGGAAGCGCACTAAGCTTCTTTACCTTTGTTTCCTAATCTTTTAAAATTGTATTTGGTAGCTGAAATAGGTGTATAAAAGAAAATGGACATTCAGAGACTGCTTTGAAGATGAAAAGAGATAACTTTTAGAGACAATAACATGAATTAAAAACTTCATAGAAGCTGAATTCATATGTAATGAATCTTATGATGAAGCTTGCCCTTGTAGTGAGCTCACTGTGCAAATGTAGACCTTTCGTCACCCTGAATTGTTTGGTCCAGTTCTTAATATCTGTTGCCTTAGTCCTAAAATAAGCAGAAGTTCAGAAGGAGGATTCTCTGTCACGTGTTGTATTATTTATTGGGATGCTGAATATGAAGTTTGCCTGGGCAAATAAGTATCAGTGCTACACATTCTTCTAGGAAGAAACCGTGGATGATTTCCATCTCCTTGTCTTGACTAGGAATCTGCGAATAAAGCTACTTATTACCCTTTTACAGAAAGCTTTTTTTTAAAAAAAACAAGATATAATACTCTTTCCTTTTCTTGGAGATCAGTAATGAAGAAAATAATGTCCTTTCTTCTCAGTCGAGTTCCCATTGCTGTGCATTGTGTGGCACCCACATCAGAACTGGCATTTCACTTAATTTTATGTGCAATCTTGTTAGTAATCTTAGCAGAGAGGATTAGGGCTATATGAGCTGCAGAGACTGAATGTGCATTTCCCTGGGCCTGTAGGAAGGACTGCTGGCAGCACGGTGGGAAGAAAGCTTGTTTGGGGACCTGCGGCTGCAGGGCTGCCGTTCTGTCACATCTCACCAGCGTTGGTTGGAAGAGTTTTGGGCAGGTGCATGGAGTGTGTGGTGCCGCTGTCGGGGGAGAATGGAGCGTTATGTGAGAGGATGCTGCCATTGTTGCAGATCACACTGATGTTTCCATTCTCTCTTCCCCTCCCTCATATCTCCTTTCCTCCCAGTCTGTGGCAAGCGTTACAAGAACAGGCCTGGGCTGAGCTACCACTACGCTCACACCCACCTCGCCAGCGAAGAGGGTGATGAAGCCCGTGAGCAGGAGACCCGCTCTTCTTTTTTGAAAACCACAAATGTGAGTAGTATTTTCCCTTTGCCTTTGAGATCCTTTTCAGGGATGTTGCCTACCCTGTCTTTGCCTTATGGAGGCTGGTGTGATTGCCTGGCTCCATTGTGAGTGATTGGGACCTGGATGCTTGGAGCTAATCAACCGCAGCTCACTCGGGTGCTGGCTCAGCTAGTCAGAAATTCATTTCAAACCCAGCATTATCTCTGCAGCAAGTCACTTTTCCATTACTGCTCCTGTGGGGAGGAGGTGGCAAGGAGAGGGGGGAAAAGAAGAGATGCCCAACCTGCCCATCATCAAGCAGCCTCCCAGTGGCTGTTAGCAGGGATGTCAAGGAAATATGCATCCAGTAGTTTGGGGGGGCTACCGTTGTTTTTGCTTTGAATGAGAGACATTTATCCATGTCTCCATTTTTTAGGTATGAAATTCACAGCGCCTGTCCCCCTTATCCCTACATCTCCTTCCCAAACAGCTTACCCTCAACTTTACCAAAAACCCCTTCTTTGTTACACTTTGGGAAAATCTATGAAAAAGCATCAGTACTGATCTGCAAGGAGGAGAGCTGGAACATGAGAGGATAGAAGAATTATGTGCTTAGATTCCCTACACTGGTACAGGGCTGGAAGAAATCTTACTGGTCCAGGTGGCTCTGTCCTTCCTCTGCTTCTTAGGCACAGAACTGGGAGTCAAGGAGACTGTTTTATTACTGATTTTTGCAAGTTTCTAAGCCCCTGTTTCTCAGTTTTCCAGTTTGCAATACTATGTGATGTTTGCTTTCACCTTGGGATTTGTGTAGATAGCTTTGTTCACTTTCAAAAAGTCCTTTCAGATCACTGTGTGAACTGTGTCATTTTAGTTCAAAGTAATGAGCAATGTGGACAAAGCAATAAAATGCTTATGGGGGAAAATATCCAGGCAAACACTTTCTAAGACATTAAGAAGAACTGGAAGAAATATGGAAGTAAGAAAACATTTTCTTTCTAAGCAGGATAATTGATAATTGTCCCCAGGGAGGTGTGGGAGGGGGTTTCCTTCCTCCAAAGCATCTGCTACTAGCCACTGTCTGAGCTTGAAGGGCCGTTTAGTGTGATCCCATTTGGCAGTCCCTATGTATCTGTCACTTTTATGCTCTACCTTTTAGTTATTCACATGTTTTGTAGGTTCACAGCAAAAGTAATTTTGACTCCTCCAGCTGTTGATAAACTTGAGCTGTCAATGCACTATGAGCAACTGCTTGGGCAGGCTGGAGAATGTCAGTGTTCAGCCAGTAGCTTTTGTTTACCTAGTATTTACATAATCTCTGGGTTTGAGATTTTTTTTTTTTTTCTGTGCTTGCAGTAGTCAGTAATAGTTGCATATCTGAGAGGCATATTGCAAATCTGTATTGAATTAATATTGATAATGGCCTTGCACAGATGCCCAAAGAAGGGTAGCGTCCCCTGCCCTTCAGCTTGTCATGGAGGCCAAGGGCAGTCTCAGTCCTTATGTTTCTGATGCTTAGGAAATGATAGAAGTTAGCAAGAAGAAGAGCTGGAAATGTGGTAAGGTTAGGAGCAGCCAGCCTTGGCCTGTAAAATAAAGGTGCATTTCTGGGAAAGGGTAGAGCGGCAGCTGCTTGGGCTTGTGTTGCCCCAGAGCTCCTGTGTGATTCATGTGGTAGAGGGAAGCTGCTGATGCACAGATCCCCAAAGAGGCAGAAGTTTAGAGTCAGTGGGGTAAACCACTCTGAGCTCCAGATTCCTGAGCAGAACGAATCTACTTAACAACCAGCCAGAAGCCAGTGCGGTACGGGCAACAGCCATGCGAATGTGAAGATCACCCCTGGGGAAAGTCCCAGACGCCGGAAGGTAACTCTCCCAAATGGCGTAGCTGTCGCAGTGGCTGTTTGTTCCTTTTTGCCTGTTTGTTTGTTTACAGCCTTGAGCTCAGATCTTGCATCTTTGCTCTTTCACTTGGCGATATTTAATTTATGCTGCCATTTATCTTCCATGTGAATGCTAATTGTCCACATTGCTAATGTGCAGTCATTAAATGGTCCCTTTGTACAGGGGGATGGTGGAGAGCCAGGGCATCAGATCCTTCCTCTCCCCTAAGAATTGCTAGGCATGTGTTATGAATTAGATTTGACAGGTCTGCAGTGTCGCAGGGCTCAGGCTTCAAGAATCCTCTCTGCATGGGCTTGGGGGGTGGGGGGGAGGGAGGGAAGGCAGGGGGGATGTTAATCCAAACAGCTAATCCGCAACCTACTGAACAGGAGGACCAGAGATATGGTATAGAGCAGGGCCTGGTTATTTGCTTAGCAGTGTGTCGGAGAGATATGAGCAGCCTGATTTAGAAAAGGCAAGGCAAATTCAAACCAGCCGTTTGGAATTTGCTGTGCTGTGGGAGGTGAGCACTGGGTCAGCAAAGTTCAGGTGGGTGGCTGCAGTATGAACTTCCTTCCTTTGTACTCGAAGCTCCTCTGCAGCCTCCGCTCCTTGCAGTGCCTGTGGTAACAGCAGCCATGCTGGTGCAGGAGGGAGCTTTCTGGAGCAAGGCTTCTGCAGGATTCAGCTATTGATGCCCTGGCTGGTGCCAGCTCAAGAGCTGATGGCCTCTTGACTTTCTGCACGCCCAGTCCCCTTTATCTTTACTCTTCTCCTCGTGCACAGACCAATTTGGGTAGTTCAGTAAATTATCCAGGGACTGGAAAAGAGACATAGATAGGAGGAACCTACCTGAAACTGAGAGTCACTGAACAGATGTGTATCAAAGAAGAGGGACTGGCCCAAACCCCAAGACTCGCCTCCTTGACACATCTCACTGTCCTTGACTGTGTAGAAGGTTTGTTTATTTACATCTCTCTCTCCTTCTGTCCTTCTTCCTCACCTATAGATTACACTTTGCAACATGGAAGATAGTTCAACAGTCTTCTCTGGCCTTTGCCTTTCCTAAAACATCTTAGCCTGTGCTTTGTTTGAGCTTTAGTTGCTTTGTTTATATGTCTTATCTAGCCCTTTGACTCAGATAAATAGCCCTTCCTCAGTGCCTGGTCTTGCCTCTGCCTACACACACATATATTTTTGACCTAGCCTCTGATTTTTTTAGCTGAGCGTGGAACTGTGAAAAGGAAGTTAAAGAAAACCCTTAAAAAAGTCAACTCTCCCCTTCCCCAACTCCACCGATAAAAAGAAATGATCCCACACCATTCTCAGCCTTTTTTTCTGCTGGCTTTTCCTCCACATGTTGGCACTGAGACCGTGAGATTTGTGAGCTCAGGGCGCATCCAAGCCTGCCACAAAACACCTGCTGTTTTATTCCATCTCACTCCATGGGTACAGGCCAGCTCTGGGGGCAGCTGGTGCTCACAAATTTTGAGACACTTCTGATATAGGAACTACATTAGACTTCTATCTATTGAAAAGTGTGTGTGAATGAGTGTACTAATATAAATGGTCTTCCTTAATTCCTGGGAGAATAGGATAGTGTGTCTACATGGAGAAAAACTTCCTCTCCTTTAAAGGAGAAGAGTTTTCAGTGGCATTTTGCTGTGCGAAATGTTGGTTACAGGCAGCTGTGCAGTAAACAGCAACTGAACAGATCTTATGCCCACAAGCACTTTGGCCAATGACAATCCTAAATAAAGCACATTGTGCAGGCTGTCGCTGGCCTAGCTGCCGCATGCAGGTTGGTCCGTCCTGCAATACACATAGTTAACGAGAATGAAGTCCTGGACCCTCCTGTCACTGTGCTAGCTTGTGCATCTGACCTGCAAACCCACCTGTGTACGTTAATTCATGGCATCAGTCTGTTGTGCCCAGTTCCGTTGCAGATTTTATGATGTGGATAAATCTCTACTGGAGAGACCAGCCAAAGTTGTTTGTGTACTCTAAGCATAATTGGATACCCAGTCTCCAGAGATAAAAAATTAATGTGCTAACCTCAGTGTGCCTCCAAGCTGTCCTCCAGCTCCCCCACACAGTCATCTTTGAAACATTTTTATTTCCATCCAGGCAGGGGGCTGGCCATGAATAAATGACGAGAGTCAGCCCCTCAGTTGGAGGCGAGCTGTTTGTTCCTCTCCACAAGCAGCATCAATTTGAAAAGCTACATCAGGCCTACTTTTCCCTGCCTCAGTGCTGATCCTCGCTGGGGCCATGATGGGAGCTACTTCTGAATGCAAGGATGCATCAATGCCCACCTTGTGACAAGATACCCTGCAGCAGGTGCCTTTTCAGTGAAAATATGTACATTACCTTGAGTTGACTTCTCATTAGTTTAATCTGTTTGGTTTTTTTCTTTTCCAGAGCTTGTTTTCATAAGGAAAAAGAGTCAGAATATTAAAAGAAATAGTAGTGATTGCAGAGGTTGGAACTGCATAATGATTTCCACTCAAACCCTGTTCACAGCTGTAAATTTCTCAGACTTTTGTGACTGTGTTTTGGGGTGCTGAGGAAAAAAATAGACCAGTTGTTTAGCGTTTTGGAATAGTGGAAAATCCCAAACTTGTCTCCTATGTACAGGGACCCATAGGGGACTTTTTGTTGTTTTGTTTGGAGTTATGGGGTTTTTTTTGGTAGTTTGTTTTATTTTAAGATATATATATACTGCTGGGCCAGGACCTGAAATGTTGGTGTCAATGCCCAACTCTCATTGAAAAGAAGTACCTAGTGCTTCTCCGTAGTTTATGGGAAAACATTTCCAATTTGACTAATTAGTTATTGAAAATCCAAAAGTTTTGACTGAATTTGGACTTAGGTGCTCTGCCTTCTCACACGTCTCCACTGAGTGATTTCCAGATCCAAAGCCTACAACATGTCACAGAGACCCATTTCACGACACTGGCCATTCTTATCTGCATACTGGGGATGCTGCTGGACAGGGCTGTATATTCGGCACTATAATCCCTCCTTGATTTCCCTGAGCTGATGGGAATGATGCATTTCAGTGGCCAGAGGCCAAGTCTCAGGAGAAGTACAACTCAAAATCAGGAAATCTGTATCTTAATATGTCAGACTTTTTTGTCTGCCTTCCTAT